AGACGTCGATTCACCAATCAGAAGCGGGCAGGCTGGAAATGGTAGTTTGGTGATCGACGACGAGGGAGGGGGGGAGGTGAAGAACGAGTGTCTGATACGTTTGCGCCTGGCAAAACGTATTTGACCAAATATGTACTACACTTGCTTGTAGTATCTAGATGTTGTATATGTACTGAAGTAACATGACGATAGGAAAGAGCAGGCCAAATCTCTCTTGAAGGAGATTATCGTAACAATATATATATATATATATATATATATATATATATATATATATATATATATATATATATATATATATATATATATATATATATATATATATATATATATATATATATATATATATATATATATATATATATATATATATATATATATATATATATATATATTGATAGAAGAACACCATATCTAAATCTTCAATTCCTTAAACTCTGAAGGTCAAACAGCAAATTTTGCAGAACCCACAAAATTGGTCGATTTTCACTCCTTACAACACACGATTAACGTAAACCCCTTGTATTATTATTGTTTACTATTGCAGGAAGAACTGTCGAGCTTGTACCCGTCCTGGCCGCCGCGTCACTATCAGTCTGCAGAAACCGGTTCTCAGGGTCAGGGGAGGACGGTGAGAGGTGGAGCCCGCCAGCCCCGCCACCACCACCCCCTCGTGCAGGCGCGTCACCAAGTCAATAACCCCTGGCGACAGGCGAAGTACATGGGTTACATGGCCAGGGGGAGGCCCCAGTCCCACTCGTCTCTGTGGTATTGGGACTGATGCTCTGCAAGCCCCTCAGTCTCACTCGTCTCTGTGGTACTGGGACTGATGCTCTACAAGCCCTCAGTCTCACTCGTCTCTGTGGTACAGGGACTGATGCTCTACAAGCCCTCAGTCTCACTCGTCTCTGTGGTACTGGGACTGATGCTCAACAAGCCCTCAGTCTCACTCGTCTCTTTGGTACAGGGACTGATGCTCTACAAGCCCTCAGTCTCACTCGTCTCTTTGGTACAGGGACTGATGCTCTACAAGCCCTCAGTCTCACTCGTCTCTGTGGTACAGGGACTGATGCTCTACAAGCCCTCAGTCTCACTCGTCACTGTGGTACTGGGACTGATGCTCTACAAGCCCTCAGTCTCACTCGTCTGTGGTACAGGGACTGATGCTCTACAAGCCCTCAGTCTCACTCGTCTGTGGTACAGGGACTGATGCTCAACAAACCCCAATCTCATTCGTTTCTCTCTGGAATTGAGAGTGATGCTCAACAGGGCTCAACTTCACTCATCTTTCTGGTACTGGAACTGATGCTCCATAAGCCTCAGCATCCCATATCTCTGGTATATTGCAATCATAATTGTACAGGAAGTTTAATGAATTTATGACAGATCCAATATATATACGCGGAAAACCACAGTGAAATGAGAAAGGAGTTAAAACGTTTCCGGCCTCACAAATCAGTCTAGTTACTGAAGAAGACTTGAAAGGCCAAAAACGTTTTACCTCCTTTCCCATTTCACTATCGTTTTCCGCGTATCTATGATCAGTGTTGTCTGATCGTCAGTTACACACACACACACACACACACACACACACACACACACACACACACACACACACACACACACACACACACACACACACACACACACACACATATATATATATATATATATATATATATATATATATATATATATATATATATATATATATATATATATATATATATATATATATATATATATATATATTTATAATGTACCAGATTTATCTCGTGTATATACACCAGATTATTCTCTGAAATACATTATATATTAAGTGTGCAGACGGAAGTTTGGTATTTAATTAGGTGTTAGCTAGTTTTATTAATTCAAAAAAATTGCTAAATATACGCATAGCTTAATAAAAGCATCGAAAAAGTTTAGTTAATTCTTTCAAAATCATCGCATTAATGTAACTACAAATGTTTATATGTTAATATTAGCTGTGTATATATATATGTATATTAATAATTTATTTAAATATTTATTTTTGTAATAAGTTTGTTAAAATGAAAGTAATAAAAAATATAAAATAAATCACATGTATTTAATCGGTTATTTATTTACGGTATAATATGTAAAATGTGTGTTGTAAAACTCGTGAAGATTTTGCAACACATATTAGGAGGGACTCGGGTTTGCTCTGTGTACTCAAGTGGCAAGTCAAACAACACACTTCTGGCTCAATCGAAAATCTTAACATTATTTAACCAGTTTCAAAGCTTAACTCTTTCCGTAGCAGCTTCATTAAGGCAAATCATTATAAAAGCCTTTATTTAAAAGAAAATATTGTGAAAAGTATTTATTTATATGAAATTGATCATATTTGCTAGCAATACAGTTCACGGGAGGTGAGAAATTCACTGAAGTGTTGATTAGGAAAGTGGAAATTCAGTGTTGATTATTCCGTGTATGGTGATGGAGTTCGTCATATTGTAAGGTGGTAATAATGTGCTGAGTGCCCCTCTGGTGGCACTCAGGTGTTAACGTGAGCTCCCTGCTGACTGCTGAGCTCAGGCCTCCCCCCTGCCACTGCAACTGTTGTGAGAGTTCAGGTCTCCTCTGCCCCTGTACTGGTAGTGAACTCATGCCTTTCCTGCCCATACAACTTATGAAAAAATATGTCGTAGGAAAGATAATGTAATGATGAATTACAGGCAGAACAAATGGTGATAGGGAAAATATAAGGAAAGAGAGGAAGACTAATAGGAATAAATGGGACGGGAAAAAGTGAGAGAAAACGGAGAAGGAAAAGGAGAAGGAGGAGGTGAAAGAAGAAAAGTAGGGAAACAAAGAGAGGCACACGGAGGGAAGGGAAGGCACGGAATGGGTACGCTGTTTTTTTACTCCAGGATCATGTAGGAAAGATGGCGGAGGAGAAAGCATTGTCAGTTAAGATGGTGGATTCCAGAAGTGTGAGCCGCCAACAGGAAATAGCACTGGGTAGGGATAGTGGGGAAGGAGAGGGCGGCTCGGTGCTAGTGTAGCCCTGGCTCGGTGCTAGTGTAGCCCTGGCTCGGTGCTAGTGTAGCCCTGGCTCGGTGCTAGTGTAACCCTGGCTCGGTACTGATTCAGCCTTGGCTCTTTTACGATAACTTAGTTTTAGGATAGGTTAGCCTATCTTGAGGTTATCTTAGGATGATTTCAGGGCTTAGCGTCCCCGCGGCCCGGTCCTCGAAAAGGCCTCCTTTTTGTTACACCCCCCTGGGAAGCAGCCCGTAGCAGCTGTCTAACTCCCAGGTACCTATTTACTGCTTGGTAACAGGGGCATCAGGGTGAAAGAAACTTTTTGCCCATTTGTCTCCGCCTTCACCGGGGATTGAACACCGGAACCTCAGGACTACGAATCCGAAGCGCTGTCCACTCAGCTGTCAGGCGCCTCTGGACTCCTGAGCCTCGTTGTATTGACTGTGTGTGTGTGTGTACTCACCTAGTTGTACTCACCTAGTTGTGCTTGCGAGGGTTGAGCTCTGGCTCTTTGGTCCCGCCTCTCAACCGTCAATCAACAGGTTGATTGACGGTTGACACACACACACACACAGGTTGTGTGGTTGACACACACACACAGGTTGTGTGTGTGTGTGTGTGTGTGTGTGTGTGTGTGTGTGTGTGTGTGTGTGTGTGTGTGTGTGTGTGTGTGTGTGTGCTAAGTTGACAGCGGGGAAGGCAACAACATTCTCTGTAATGGTGAGCCCGAGTGTGTAAGGTGCCAGGGTAGGCAGGGGCCGCGAGACTTGGCCCACAGGAGAAGTTTTAGCTGGAGATCCTACGGACGATAAGAGACTCCGGGATCAAGAGTGAGCGACTCGTATACCAGGATCAAGTGGGAGTGCCCCGTCTACCGGCCGTGCTCATCACCCGTCTTCGCTACCAACAGGTCCGATGCGTACAACAACAACGAGATTTATTTTAGCTCCCCCTCGTGTATGCGTCCCTACCCAGTTGTTGGCCAAAGTTGTGTGTCAGCAGTGATCGTGCTGCAGCTCCTGGGTCTGGTGAGATATTTCCCTACTTCCATATAGCCAGAGGATGGCTGTGGTATGTTGACCAGACCACACACTAGAAGGTGAAGGGACGACGACGGTCCGTCCTGGATCATTCTCAAGTCGATTGTCGAAATTGTGACTCATCGCCTGCATATGGGTGAGGTGTCCCTAATAAACTAAAAAAAATTAATATTAAACTAACCAAAATATGACGCCTTATATTTGGTTAGGTTAGGTTTTGTGCATTGTTTAGGAGTGAGTTTACTTGTGGGTGTTGCATACTTGTTCTCGTCTGGCATAGGTATGCTTGAGTGGGTTCTGTGGGACTGTCTGTCACGGTTTCCGAAAGATCTAAAAAAGTTCCAGGTTTGTGTATGTGATGTGATACCCAGTTTAAATACCCTTCCTGGACACACACACACACACACACACACACACACACACACACACACACACACACACACACACACACACACACACACACACACACACACACACACACACACACACACATGTAAACACGTGCACATCGCCATAGTACGCGCGCTCACGAACGCAAACACACACACACACACACACACGCACACACTTTGATCTTTGGCGGGACCAAAGAGCCAGAGGTCAACCCCCGCAAGCACAACTAGGTGAGTACACACACACACCTTGAGGTTACATTGAGGTATTTTCGGGGCTTAGCGTCTCCGCGGTCCGGTCGTCGACCAGTCCAGGCCACACACATACATTCCCCAGAACACATAAATATGTACAGAGGAATGTAACAAAAATACAGGCGATAAACATACTTAGATAACCATATGAAATTATTTAACCTAATGTTTGCAAAAGTCTTTGCATGAGTAAATGAAAATGATATTCCCGCGCAGCAAGGGACAACGCTAAGCATCTAGCGGTAAGTAATTAAAACACGCGACGGAAATTAGATATGATTCAGTATCCTTTGTGACGCCGGTTTGATACTCTACACGAAACGTAGCAGCCAACCTCGTTCGTATATAAGGGTGTGGACGCTGGAGAGAGCCAGTGAGAGCGGCGACGCTCGTAGTATCCAGTAGACTGACTCGAGCTTCGTAGGGACAGACAACACTTGCTAGAGGCCAGCCATAGAGAAGGTGAGTCAGGCCGGTGCTGGTAATTTACATTTTCAGACATAAATGTAAACAATGTATTGTGGATGAGTAGGAAGTGTGTCCATGAATGCTCCAACGACTGTATTTGTTTGTATCAGATTTCAGCTCCTGGGCCCTGACTCCTTATTCATTAATCGGTCAATGTGATGATTTCCCCACCACGGTTTCATATTTGTTAATACAACTGAAAATTTAGTTTCTGTGAGTGCAATTACATCTGCGCTTTCCTAGTTTTCCTATTCCACGAGGTTTACTCGCCATGTTTGTAATATTTTTCATTTTGGTGTACATTTGATTCAAGTGCTCACCTAGTTGGACTCACCTGGTTGTGCTTGCGGGGGTTGAGATTCGGCTCTTTGGTCCCGCCTCTCAACTGTCAGTTAACTGGTAAACAGGTTCCTGAGCCTACTGGGCTCCATCATATCTACATTTGAAACTGTGTATGGAAGTCTGCCTCTGTGTGGGTGATGTGTTGTAAAGAGGTTGACAAGGATTTCAGGTGGATAGGAGGTGGATAGAGAGGGATTGGGTTTTATTTAAGGCTGTTTGAAGAAGGTTAGGTGACAGAGGCTGGGTGGGGATAGTTATGATTGTAACGCATGGTCATCGAGTAGGAGCTGGTGAGAGAGAGGGGTTTAGAAAAGGGTAATTTATATTTCTGTTGTGGTTGGCCCTTTGTATACTGAGCTGAAAGATGTGAATTTCTCAATTCAGTTCCATCCCCGGTGCCTTCTATGCTACCGTTTTCTTTGTCATACCCCTCTGGGATTTGTGATCATTCCATTATATTTAACTTTGCTTATATTTTAACATGTGCAGGACAATGACAACATGAAAGTTTCTTTATTGTAGGCTGAAAGTAATCAACCAGATGTCATGCCTTTTATAATATGGAGTTTGGCAAGGAAACCTTATTTTCTAACTAATTCTGTAATTAATTTGACTGACTTCGTCTCCCAGACCTGCAGTGAGAGTGATGGCTGGCTCCCTGCCCTGCTTGATGCTGCTGGTGCTGCTACTCTCCTGGGCGCCCTCTCCTGCTCACTCTGGTGGGTGCTCCCGTACAGCAGTCTTCATTGCACTAGTGTACATTATGTGTCAGAAACTTCCATGTTCGAAATCTAATACTCATATATATTAATAAAACGTATTAACTAATAGTTATGGATTGCCACATATAACAAGAAGCTCCAAACATAATGTTTATGAGTGTAATAATTTTGTTTTATTATAAATTGTATTTATTATTGTAATTTTTATTATTATACGTGTGTTCACAGAGAGCAGACGGCCTGGTCGTCACGGGATTAGAGGGCAAGGAAGGCAGCCACCGACCTCTACAGGCGGTGGGGTTTTTAAACCCTTCTTTGTTGGCGGTCAAAACGCGAATAATCCGAGCACGGTAATATACCTTCTCTGTACGTAGGCCTTAAATAACCCGACCTGCACGTCCCCACGGGCAAGGCTGAGTAAATGATTATGATGTAACAGTGAATCAACGTTGAAAATGTATAAACGTTGATCCAACATTATTTAAACGTTAATCGAGGATGTTTTGCCCGCTGGGATGTGAAATGAAAGTAGCGAAGGATGCAGCGCCCTGTCCTTATCAAGGAGTCGTGACGGACCGACACGTCCTCACTGTCCTTCTGTCACCATTTTCACCATACACTCTCTCCATCACTGTACCAAATGGTCGCCCTTCCAGTGCAAATTTGTATTTTTTTATTAGTACATGAGGTACATCTGCATTAGTGCAGCTACCCTAGACTATATGAAGTGGAGTACAGTGTGTCAAAAAAGTTAACTACGTGATGCTAAAAAATCCCCATCACACAGGATGGTTAGTCATACAGAGGCATGTGATAGGCAGTCTGCACTGGCAGACTCCGGAAGCATTTTGAGGATATCATCAACACAAGATTGAATAAGGTAGCAGTGGTAATACAAGTCCCCCATCTCGCAGGATGGTTAGTCATACAGGGCCATGTGTTTAGTAGCCTGCACTGGCAAATTTTGGGTACACTGTGAGGATATCTTCAAGAATACGAGAATGAATAAAGTAATTCCAAAGCTCCAGGTACCTCATGCCAACTGGTCTGAAAGGTCTAATAACTGGGCATTCGGTGATGTAGTGTGGGAGATCGTGCCGCAGTTCCTGCTCACAGAGTTTGCAACTGGAGTGCTCAGGATTGGGAGATCCGTCACCTGCAGCCACCTGCCACAGGTAACGGTAACCAAACCTGATCCTTGCAACCACTGTGTCGCACAGTCTAGTGGACGTTTTGTGCTGCCCATAGATATAAGTATTGCAGCCAAATTAGCGTGTAACAAGGATGAAGTTGAATTAGATCTAGGTATCCCCATCTCTGCTGTCAAAACTGTATTGGTCCAAACACTCAGGTATGATAAGAAAGAAATTACTGACTCCCAACGACCTGAAAGTACTAGTATAAAAAGCTATGATTTGTTCAGATCTGAAACCTGCAAATTTGTAGTCTGATATATAAATGCTAAAGTCTATGGACTCAGGGCTGAACATTTCACATTCATAATTTTCGTGATGGAGGCGCATCACGAAGGACACACACACACACACACACACACACACACACACACACACACACAGGTCCTCGCGGCCGATGGGACAAGGTTCAAGGGTTGTAGTCCTAATTTAAGGGCTTGGATTTGATTCCCAGCCGAGGCAGAAACAAATTTACGTAGTTTCTTTCATCTAATGCACCTGTTCACCTAGCAGTAAACAGGTACCTGGGGGGTTAGTTGCTACAATCTGCGTCCTGGGCAGCTGTGTGTGTATATGTATGAGAGAGAGAAATATATATATAGTAGTAGAGCAGAGTAGAAATAGAAATATGTTGTAGTAGATATGAGAGAAAGTTAGGTAGTGAGTCAGTACATTAGACATCAGACGGTAGAAAGGCGGGGTCCAAGAGCTAACAGCTCGATCTAGCAGGCGCATTGAGCAAATGCAAACAGTAAACACACACACACACACAAAATAAACGTTTAAACAAAAACCTTCTAATAAATTACATTAATTTCACTAAAATTAACTTTCCAGGGAGCGTTGATATCTAACCCGTGGGGAGACTACGGCTACCGACCTCCCATCGTCTTTGGCCCCAGGCGCCCCTCCTACGACTACTGGGACTACTGGTATTAATACAAATACCAATGATGGTATTAATGGTAATACCACAACTTTCACTCATAACAAAGATCAAATCACACACTTTTGGTACAGAGGTAACACAGTTCCTCACATGCCGGTAGTGGATATAATACTGTTGCTCAAGATACATTAAGGTATTAAACTCTCTATATTAAGCTGTTTTCACACAGGTGCCGATAATAATAACGCTGTTTTGTCGTGAGTAGATCATCAGATTTACAGACATTGCTAAAAATAATTCTCAAATACATACATGAAATATCGACCGCTGATGCGTGCATATATCTCCCTGGGATGAACATGCTCCCAGTCGGTCTGCTTCGAGTGCTGTTTTATCTAAGTTTTTTTTAATGATGAATTGTTAAATATTTGTTAAATTGTTTGTAAAAACTTTTGGTTTTTATACTGTTAACTACATAAATAAAAAATATTGATGGTTTTTAACAGATTTTTTTTTCTCAAACTCCAATACAGCGCTTACCTAACAGAGTTTATCTAAAAGTGACTTTTGGAAAAAGAGGTCTTGCTACTTATTCTCAAGCAATTACGCTATCTGCTAGCCTAGTTGTGTTTGCTGCGACTAGTACCAAGACAAACTTTTCTTGAGAAAGCACTTTATATTTTAAATCTTCATACGACGTGCTCATCAGATTACAAAAAAAATTCTCATGAAAAGAAGCAAAACGTTTCTAAAAATTTAAGTTGAAAACATTCAAGACAAATAAAAATAATCAATTAAAAAAATTGCCTAAAGTCAGTGATAAAAAAAGTTAATTTAAAACACTCCCTAATATAAAACGAGATATAACAATTTCACAAAATCTCCATAAAAAAGTTAGTTTTGTCCGATGTTGGAGGCCAGGCGCTTTGGGCGAGCTTCACTCAACTTTGCAGGGTGAATGGTCTGGAATACGGAGCGGACATAAGTTAGTCGGGGTCGCCAGAGTTCAAAAGAGAAGAGCGTGTCAAGGTAACATACTGACCCCCCACGACCATTTTTTGCACTGGCTATATTTTGAAAAAACTAATTTTTTTTTTTATATTTATAAAATAATTTATCCAACAGCAGTGAATAACCTTAAATTTTCTACTATTCACATTTTGGCAGTGGCAACATAAACTTGTTACTTCAATACAACCATCTTCCCTCCCACCGCCCCATCTTACCAAGGGCCGACTCACCATCTTCCTGCACACTCAAAACACATATTTACTTCACTATAAACTGAAATGTTATACAGACGAAGCGATTTCAATTAATTGTGACTATTGTGATGGAAAAAAGAAGTGGTGTTCAGCAGTCCTCCCAATGGCTGGTGTCAATGCCTATCACATTTAAGAAAAAAAGATGACTGCGTAGCTGTTGTGTTCTGTGGCAAAGTAAGGCAAAACAAGCAAAACAAATAGTATGAACAACGAAACTTTAATTAAATTGAAAACAAATTATGAATAAGACAATTCCTTGGATACGTACAGTGCAAACTCACAATATTATAAATTAAAAAAAAATAACATAAAATAATATAGTGGTGACGTTACTCTAAAATGGATAAAGACAAAATTAAATTAACAGGTGCTGAGAATAAAGCGTTGGCTGAGAACATCCACTAATAGACAGAGCGTATATCAGATGGTTGTTTCAGCTTGAGAGCACAAGATATTTTAACTCCAATGGCTGGTGCAGGCCCAGACATCGGCTAGGTAGATGGCGCTGAGGTGCAGAAGTGCAGTGGTGCAGACGTCGATTCACCAATCAGAAGCGGGCAGGCTGGAAATGGTAGTTTGGTGATCGACGACGAGGGAGGGGGGAGGTGGAGAGCGAGTGTATGATACGTTTGCGCCTGGCAAAACGTATTTGACCAAATATGTACTACACTTGCTTGTAGTATCCAGATGTTGTATATGTACTTGTCGGAAAATCCGACACCATTTAATATATCATACAAATAATTTCTGCTGTATTACCAACAAGTTACCCATAGAAAACGTAACTTGTAGTGGAATTACCGTCTAAAGAAAACGGGATATCATCACCACATACTATTATAATTCACCAGCTATTCTGCTGGGAATTATTCTTAAATACATAAGTCTTTGGACTTTACCATCATAAAAACATCTTATATAAATTAACTTAATTATCAATATTAAAGTAGAGTAAATGTGACCCTTCTATCACGTTCTGAAATCTGGACAATGTAAGCCAGGCGTCAGAGTGCAGGAAGGAGGGCAGCCATTGTTGTTGTACTAGACCAGAGGCTCACACGGGAGCAAATTCGGCTCCTGTTAAATTTACTTGGACGTAGTGTTATGGAAACTAAAAGTGTACCATTATCAACACGCTGTCTACAAATTCAAGTTAAGTGTCTATCCGAAACCCATTATCTATCATTAGTGGCCATTAATGTCATTGGGTAGGGTTATCCGGTTAGATCACATGGAAGCCTCAAACTAAAGGTAATTAAGCCAGGTCCTCATGTTCCATGTACTGTTTTCTCTGATATACTTGTCATATATAGGATTCTGGCTTCACAGCTAGCGCACTTTTGACAGGTCAAGACGAGGAAGGATTTGTGCACCAGTTACTGGGTGATATGGAAGCTACCTCAAAGAGGATAATTTGGTGTCTACACCCTAGTTATACCTGGTGGACTAACCTGCTGTACTATAAGATAAGGAACCTCTTCAATGTTTAATAGTATGTAGCTATTACTGTAGTTTGATTGGCTGCATATATATTAATTTAATAAACCCCCCCTAATGTGTAGAGGATCGATTTGTGAGATTATGAGATTATTGCAGAAATACAGTCCACTCATTATTATACAAATTGCTATCGAAGTATATAAATTAACGTAAATATAAATTCATATAAATTAAATAAATATAAATCTCACAGGTCGGTTCCCACATTATTTGGTCCTTCGAACCGGATTATTTGGACCTTCGGAACCGGAATATTCGGTCCTATGAACCCACATTTGGTCATCTTAGTACCGGATGAACCAGTTATCCAGTGGATTCATTAAATATACTAGTGCAGTGTTATTTAAACAAAGGCCAGCCAGTCAAAGACGGAAGCGTAGCCTCGAGGGAGCTCAGGAGCCTCCCTCAGTTCAGATCTGCCTCATCAGCGGTTTCATGCACACCCACAGATATTTGGTGGCGTGTTATTTCGTGAAATGACAGCGCTAATATAGAATCCAGCCAAATTAGTGACTGTGTCTTCGCGAGATTGTTCACGGATTTCGTGGTGTTACATTTCGCGAGAGATTATCTACGAATTTTGTGGACTTTATTTCGCGAGGTCACTAATAATATTTAATACTTCTAGATAATATTAGAAGTTTCATAGAGGCTAATTAAGAGGCTATTGTCAATAATTGTGTATATTATTTCTCCAAAATAGAGAATCATTTAATATATACTGCACTAGTGATCACAGTATAATATTTACTAATTGCCAACCCACAACAGGGTAGGATATGACTAGTTGAACTATTATTGCTCATCCTAGTCCCATTATTACCATAGTCAGTTGAACTATATTGATCAACCTAGCACCATTAATGAATGGTCCAGACCCTATTTTGGGTGTAATTTTTATCAACTCGAGTTGAGTTGTATATATATATAATTTACTTATGATCATTACACCTTTGAGTGATTAATTAGTGTCTCTACCATCCTAGGGTGATATAGAAGAGCTAACCTAAAGGTACTTCCAGTGACACTGGTTTATCACTCAAATCATTAGTGTGTATGATTGTATATATATAATGTGTATTAATTTTAAGTGCTAACCTCTAGTAGAGGTAGGATTATTGCCTAGTGAGTTCAGAATTTAACCCTAGGCTGCCATTAGTACTTGCTCACAATTTATGAGCCAGTGGTGCCCAATTAACAAGTCACCATGACTAATCCACAGAAAGCAAAGCGTGCTTTAATATCAAGCAAACGCCAACTAACAAGAGATCTCAACCAATATGAACAGTTGTTATATGAGCCTGTAATTAATTATCGTCGGTTGAAAATACCACTGTTACAGATTCAAACCCAATTGCATATATTGAAAGCAAATAGGAAATCTTACCAAAATCAGGTCCACGACGACGACGACATAGTAGTTGAAGATGTGGAACCATTCCTGTCTGACCTTGCACAATATGAAGAAGAAACTCAAGCCAGGTTGGAACATTTACACAGGATAATTGAATCAGAACAAATAGCAAGTACACCAAATAAAGTAGATAATGTTATGGATGATCTGGATCTTTTTGAGAATAAATGTAAAGCCAGATTAGATCCTTTAATCAACAAGGATAAAGCTTCACCCACTACAGCTTCACCCAATAATATACCACCAGAAATTAAGCAGTTTTCAGACAATTTATCCACAGTCTCTGTGGTTTCTGAAAACCCAATACCTGAGGCTACTAAGTTAACATGCCTCCAAACTAGAGGTGAAGCTGAACCAGTAGTAGAAAATGTAAATGAAAATAGCGACAGCACTAATTTCCCAGTCCAGCCTCCTAGGAATAATGCTGGCAATGAGAAAACTGTCATACATCTAGTACTACAATTGCTGGATTTACCTCAACCTGATCAGACTGCTGACTCATTACAATCCTTCAGCATGGAGTTTGAGTCACTACTAAGAACATTCAGACTTAAGGTTGATATAACTACTAGTGAATGGATGACCAAAGTAGTCCTTCAACGAAAATTGTCCAGCGATATACTAGATGAATTATATGCACATCAACATAACACCATCCTGACAGTACAGGACATCACTGAAGGTTTACATTCCATCATAAACAAACGACGAGCAAATGAGGAAGTTAAAGCCTCTTGCAAGCCTTCAGAAATAGAAAATAATAGTCAATTAAAGGGTAAAACAACCACCCCAAATAAACATCAACCAATTACTCAAACATCAAGTTGCAGAAAATCTGACAATGCAGCAGCATCCTCCAAGCCTACTGTTACTAGTTCACCCAAACCGGTAACTTCCAAACGTGCAGTAGGCTGGGGGACATGTATGTTCTGCAAAAAGAAACATTCAACATACCGTTGTGCTAATTATCCAACCAGAGACACTCGTATTGAGCGACTCCAGGAATTAGGGAGATGTTCGAGGTGTCTCAAGTCACACAACATAGACTATTGTGATACCCAATTCAACACCTGTAACAGGTGTAGAAGAGGTAGGCACCATGCAGCACTGTGCAAATATACGAAATTAACGTATTCAAGACCCAAGGTGGAAGATAGCATTCCCACCACAGTACAGTACTGCAAGGTGCAACCAACAAAGAGTGTCCAATCGGCAAAGTCTAAAGGTAATACGACTTTGCCTACTGCCCAAATTACCATCCTGAATAAGAGGGCCAAGGTCCATACCCGTGGGTTGTTTGACCAAGGATCCCAGAGAAC